CCCCCGCCGCCCCCCCCCCCGTCACAGCGCAAAGCAGCCGAGGGAGGGGAACGGCTGCGGCGCAGCTGGCAGCGCGTGCCCATGAGGAGGCGGCCTGGGGACAGGGGCGGAGCTAGCTTCCTCGCAGGGAGCGGCATGTTGCACCAGGCAGACCCCTCGCTAGCGTGTGTCCCCACCTGACAGGACCGGCCCCTTCCCTGCCTTTGCTCTGTCTTCTCCCGGTGCCTTTGGCATGCTTGGCGCTCTCCTCTCCCAGGCCGTGGAGGGCACAGGGGTGGGGCTCCGTCTGGCTGGGCCCTGGCCCTGCCACTGCTGGTATTTCCACGGCGTGACGCCTGCTGCAATGGGCGTAACCAACGTGGCGTCTTTCCCCGGGACTGATTCCATTCCTGAGGCCCAGCCTTCCATTTGCTCCTCTCCTGGCCGCCCGCCGGGCCCCGTGCTTGTACATTTCGTCGGCTGCCACGGAGCCTGTGCATTTCCCACCAGCCGGCTCACCTGCTGTGTTTACCCCGCCCTGCTGCAGGCGTAGGTCTCCCTGCCTTCCGGGGAAGAGCTGAGAGGAGCCCAGCCCTGGCATTGCCCCACCATAGGCCAGTCACTCACCACAGGCTAGCCCCAGCCCCCACCTTGCTGGCCCTACCCCATGTGTGCATACAGGGCCCCAAGCCCCAACCCTAACACGCGGCAGCATGGGTTCTGCATACGTGCAGCTGTCCGGCCATGTGCTGCCCTGCCCTCGAGAACACCCCTGGGTCTTCAGCACCCAAGCCACCTGCGTCTGGACCGTCTGTAGCTGAGTTCTGTGCTGCCCAGGCCTTCCCTGGTGTCCCTGTCCTGGACGCCTGGGTCCCCAGTGTTTCCCACCACTCACGCTGGTCTGCCCCCCCCCTCCCCCACGTGTGCAGGGGGCTGCCTCGGCCCTTGCTCCATAGCTGCTTCAGGGCCGTTTGCTTCCTCCCTGCTCCTAGACCCGGCCGAGTCCATCCCCAGCATCCTAGACGGCTTTCAGTCCCGGGAGGTGACGGCTGGCCAGCTGGTGGAGCTGCCCTGCATCGCCTCCGGGTACCCCAACCCAGCCATCCGGTGGATCAAGGACGGGCGCCCGCTCCCTGCCGACAGCAGGTGGACCAAGCGCATCACAGGGCTGACCATCAGCGACCTGCGCGTGGAGGACAGCGGGATGTACATCTGTGAGGTCACCAACACCTTCGGCTCGGCAGAGGTCACCGGGACCCTCACAGTCATAGGTGAGCGCCCAGCAGCGGAGCATGCCCAGTTACGGGTCACTCCACTGGACATCTGGGGAACTGGGGGGAGGGGGCAGGAGGAGAGGGGATACTTCTGAGGGACCGGGGGGCAGGGGGAGGCAGGAGGGGCGTGGGTACACCAGGGGGGAGTGGGTACATGTTGGGAACCAGGGTGGGGCAGGAGGAGAGTGGGTACTTCTGGGGAATTGGGGGGGCAGGAGG